TATTACTTTTTTCTTTCCTGTTTGTCAGCCCTTTTTGTTAATTATTTTTGGAGAGTTGAGGAAAATATAATCTTACAATAGAAAAGAACAATGCTATGGGTTTAAAAATACAATAAAATATTTATAAATAGTTAAATGTACAAAGTCTGTTGAATACTAAATAAAAGTACAAATCTTTTCTTTTTAATGTAAATACATTCAAGAATCTTTCAGCAGTCTCTTGGAGACATTTTTAAGGGACACAATGGGTTTTTCCGTGACATCACTTTTTTTTTCAAAGGACATTGTATTTTTAGTTTTTAAAAACATTATTTGGTATAGTTTCAGGTGTATAGCACAGTGGTTACATAATCATATACTTTACACAGTGTTCCCCCTGATGTTTCTAGTACCCACCTGACACCATACATAGATATTATATTATTATTGGCTATATTTCCTATGCTGTACTTTGCATCACCGTGACTATTTTGTAACCACCAATTTGTACTTTTAATCCTTTCTCTTTTTTCACCCAGTCCCTCAACTCCCTCCCCATCTAGCAACCAGTCCACTCCCTGTGTCTATGACTCTGTTTCTGTTTTGTTTGTTTATTTTGTTCTTTGGATTCCACATACAAATTAAATCATATGGTATTTGTCTTTCTTTGACGGACTTATTTCATTTAGCAAAATATCCTCTAGGTCCGTCCATGTTGTTGCAAATAGTAAGATTTCATTCTTTTTTATGGCAGAGTAATATTCCATAGTATATATGTACCACTTCTACATTATCCAGTCATCTGTTGAGGGGCACTGGGTTGCGTCCATATCTGGCTATTATAAGCAGTGCTGCAATGAACACAGGGGTATATTTTCTTTTGAATTAATATGTTGGGTTCCCTCAGATACATATACCAGAAGTGAAATCGCTGGGTCATAAGGCATTTCCACTTTTAATTTTTGGAGGACCCTCCTTAATGTTTTCCACAGTGGCTATACCAGTCTGCATTCCCACCCACAGTGCATGAAGGTTCCTGTTTCTCCCATCCTCACCAATACTTGTTGTTTATGAATTTATTGATGATAGCCATTGTGACAGGTGTGAGGTGATATCTCATTGTGGCTTTGATTTGCATTTCTCTGGCAATGAGTGAAGTTGAGCATCTTTGCATATGTCTGTTGGCCATCTGTATGTCCTCTTTGGAGAAGTGTCTATTCAGGTCCTCTGCCCATTTTCTAATTGGATTCTTTATTGTTTTTGTTTAGTTGATGGCTTCCTTTGCTGTGCAAATTGTCTTTAGTTTGATTCACTGCCATTTGTTTATTTTTTCTTTTGTTTCCCTTATCCACGAAGCTATATCAGAAAAAAATATTGTTAAGAGAAATATCAGAGATTTTTACTGCCTATATTTTCTTGTAGGAGTCCTACATTTAAGTTTTTAATCCATTTTGAGTTTATTCTTGTATATGGTCTAAGAAGGTGGTCTAGTTTCATTTTTGGCATGTATCTGTCCAAGTTTTCCAACACCATATGTTGAATAGACTGTCTTTACATCATTGTATGTTCTCTTGCCTCCTCTGTCAAATATTAATTGACCATATAGGTGTGGGTTATTTCTAGGCTCTCTATTCTGTTCCATTGATCGATATGTCTGTTTTAATGCCAGTACCATGCTGTTTTGATGATTATGGCCTTGTAGTATAGTTTGATATCAGGTAGCATGAAACCAACTTTGTTCTTCTTTCTCAGTGTTGCTGAATCTATTCAGGGTTTTTGTGGTTCCATATAAATTTTTGGGTTACTTGTTCTAGTTCTGTGAAGTGCGCCATTGGTATCTTGATAGGAATTGCATTGAATCTATAGGTGGTTTTGGTTAATAGGGTCATTTGTGTAAGGTAGGTTCTCAGTGAGTCTTCAGGTGGAGAAGAGTGTTGTTCACCAGACTGATATAGATTCAAACCGCACCAGTGCTGGGACTGAAGCCACTCAGCAAAATTCTCCAAGTACACAAAGGCCAGCTGCCACTTGCAGGGTGTCCTCAGGCCTCTGTGGTGTGGCGGGGCCTCAGGGAGTCATCAGGATGAGGGCATCAGCGTTCATCAGGTCCAAACAGACCAAAAATGGGCCGTGTAAGGGAGGAATCTGCACAGAATCTGTAGCGTTGGATGGACGAGCAAGAGGAAAAATGGCTTCTGCCCTAGAGCCGCACAACTCAGCCTCTCACTGATTCTGCTGGGACCTACCCATAGCCTTCAAGGAGAGTCTTCCCCAAGGGCCCAGGCTGACCACAGCCCGCTGACTCCTCTGCAATGCAAGAACGTGGCAGGGCCCCCAGGGGGTGGAGTCCGGAGTCTGGGGCTAGGGAATCTCTTGTGGAGACAGAGCCCTCAGGACATAAGGGGAATGGCCCCCACCCCAGAGCCACATAACGCAGTCTCTGACAACCCCTGAGTTCACCCTCCACACTCCTCCCAAAAAGTCTTCCCCAGGGGCCCAGGCAGCTGACTCCTGGGCAGGGTGTGAGCTCTGCAGGGCGGGGCATGGGGAGTAGACAGGGAGTTGAGAGGGTGGGGTTATTGCATTTCTCCAGGATGTTGCAGTATGGGAGGGAGTCCTGGGTCCAGTCTGTGGGCAGTGTGGGATTGGGACTCAGCCCAGGCACCGTGGCAGCTTTCCCTTCTGCGCTCTCCTTGGAGCCACACAACACAGTGTGTCCCACAACTCCAGTCCACTTCAATCTGGCCAGGTATGAGATTTTGTGTGCTGCCCCTTTAAGAGGGCACCTGGGTTTCTAGTGGATGCCAGTCTCTACCTGGCAGACAGAATCCTGGCTGATTTTGTTTGTTTTTTGTTAATCTTCACCCTAGGATGTTTTTCCCCCCATTGATTTTTAGAGAGAGTAGAAGGAAGTGGGGGAGACAGAGAAACAGATAGATTGGTTGCTTCCTGATGGGGGCAGGGATCAAAATGGAACCTGGAACCCTTAGTCCCAGGGCCAAAGCTCTATCCACTGAGCCAAACCAGCTAGGGCTCCCCGCTGATTTTTACAGCCAGATATTAGTGGGCTACTCTTCCTGGCTCTGGTGCTCTGGGTGTTGAGACCCCACACTCCTCATGGGAGACTCTTAAGGCGAGAGATTTCTTTGGTTTTTCAATGGCTGCATATGTGTGTGGGGCCAGCTTTTATCATGTCTCTGCCCTTCTTACCAGCCAAGATGTGGCTTCTTTGGAAAATCCTAGTTTATAAGACTCTGTTCAGCTAGTTTTCAGTGGTTATTCAGGTTGATTGTTCTACAGTTTAGTTGTCATTCCAGTTTGGACCTGGGAGGAGGTGAGTGTAACTTCCAAATACTCCGCCCCCATCTTGGACCCCTCTTGTTACTTCTAAGTGTAGTGTTTACATTTTTGTTCTTAGTTAATTTACAGAGTTGCTTGGTATAATTGTACAGGTTCATGAGAATGAGATATTTAGTTATCTTGTGTGTGCATACTTATTTCATATGATAATATAAACAATGTAATGGAGGAAGCACTACAATTTTTGTACCTTAGAAGGAGAGCCTTCCTTTGCTTCTGGCTTCATTTGCTCTGTGTGACTGCAGCTCATCCTGAGTTCAGAGAGCAAAGATGAGAAGACACTGAAGTAAATGGAACTTAAAGTTTATAGGGATCATTTTTACTAGTCCTATCTACATGTGAAGTAGAAGTTCAGGGGGAAATCTGAATTAAGAAGACATTGGGATTTAAATTATTACCAAAAGAAATAAAAGTGATGATGATGATGACAGTTACTGATGTTGGTGATTTATTGAGCAGTTAGTAAGTACCCTGCAGTGGGACTATGCTTTCCATGAATTATTTTATTTGATCCTTAGAATAACCCTTTGAGGTAGGTGCTGTTACAGTCATCCCACTTAATACACAGGGAGTCCAAGTGGGTAAAAATTAAGTACTTTTTCTGAAATTCTCAACTGAGATTCAAGCCCAAGTATGTTGCCTCTGGGCCTGACAGCTAATCTTCTCAATTACAGAGGGACAGGGAGGGTATCCTAGGCCAGAAATTTATATCTAGAGAATGAAGGAAGAGATGGAATGTGTGTAACACCGGCCAGGGAGTAAAGCAAGGGAGGAAGTCAGAGTTCAGTTATATGGCCTGATGGAGGAGTTGAGATTGTGAAATATTAATCAGAGTTTTTTAAAATGAGATCATCGTCTTATCCTGATGTAGGGATGTGTGATAAGACATCCTGTGAATGCAACAAACAAGGTGCAGGATGACACACATTAAATATTTCTTTAGAAAAGAACCACACACATTGAGGGAGAGATATTGGATATTTGAATGCACAGGTCTATGAAGATATAATCCCAAGTTATAACAGTGCTCACCTCTGACAAGGATCCTGGCTACAGGTATTAGTGATGATCATCAAAGGAACTTAAGCTTTGATCTTATACTTGTGCTTGCTTTTCTTCTAGTTTGCAAGTTAGATGACGGCATTTATGTACTTAATTTTGAAAAGGTATGGTATTAATGCCAAAAAAATGAAATAGGGGATCATTTTAGAATTTCATATTCAGATTATTTCTATCTTTAAATCCTAGACTAGAACATTGCAGGACTGTTTAAATTTGTATGAGCTAATTTGATGCAAGGGGTAAAGGAATACACAAGTTGTCACTTAATTGAATGGAAATACGAATTGACTAACCATTGCTGATTAGTACCTTTTTTGTTTGTTTGTTTTTAAGTGGAAGACTATTTGGAATTTTAGAAATCGGAGCATTGGCATGGGGATTTAGAGAACATTCTGGAAAGAAGGCCCCTCTTCAGGCACCTGGCTCAGAGGTCTGGATGAGGGATCAGAATAGGATGGAAAGCCATTCACTGTGCTCCTGTCCTTCAGGGCCTCCTCCCAGGGCCAAGTGAGGAGGCAAGTCCTCTGTGTGGTGTTCATGGTATTTTTTTTTAAATGCATTAGAAACTCTAAATATTTGATTCTTTGTGTTGTAGATGGACACAGGAGATCCGGACTTCTGAACTTCTACTGGAAAAGATAAAATGTGCAAGTCCTTGACGATGTTGGGGAGGTTGGAGCTGGACTAAATTGAGAGACGAGAAGAAATGCTGCTGTGAAGGGTATGTAACAAATTATAAACCCCAGGGTGTGGCACCCAACGATTGCTTTCCATTGCCAAGTTCTTCATTAGGATGGGAATACGTGTGCTCTAGCTTGGTTGTGTTGGTGTGGGTGTAACTTCCCCCGTCAGAGAGCTGGATGCGCACCTGTTTCCAGGTTATCGGAAGGATTCAGTTTGTAATGCATTGACCACAGGGCCAAGCCAAGATCAGGAGAGCTCAGGAGCCCCAAGAACATAAAATACAACTGCTCACATTTATGGAACACTATGTGCCAGGCACCACTCTAAGCCTTTAATGGATTCATTCATTGAATTATCACAATAGCACTATGAGATAGGCAGTGCTGTTGCCCACATCCTAGATGGGGGGATCACAGGGGGCACGAACCACCGGATCAGTTACTGAGAGAGGACAGTCATGATGGTGGGGCCCCACCCCACCGTGAAAGCCTTACTCCTCTTTCTCCCTTTCTCATATATTTCCTATTTACCTTTCTTCTCATTCCCAATTCTCATCTATTTTTTTTTCATTTAATCATAGATCTCCACATTGAAAGGGAATTAGCATGAAAGGGATATCAATATAGGTCACTAGGACAGATCATATTTTCCAAAAATGGCCACATAATTATTGCTGCTCTTCCAGAATCTTTCCACACCCCCTCAAGCCAAGAATTTTACTTTTTCTTCTCTTGGTGGAATCTGTGTGGAACTCAGTGACTGACTTGACAGAGAGAATGGGCAAAAGTGACATGAGTAACTTCAAAGGGGATCAGCATAGGTGACATGGTGTCCACCTGGCTCTCTCATTCTCTTGGGCCAGTTGCCTTTGAGATCAGCCACCGTGATGTGAGGCAGCCCAGGCTCTATAGAAAGGCTATGAGGAGATACTCCAGCCGACAACCCCACCTAAATCCCACTGACCTGTGAGTGCAGGTTTGGAAGGCTCCAGCCCCAGCCTTGGAGCTGCTCCCATTTGTGCTGAGTAGAGCTGGGACTAACTGGCCTTGATGAATCTTCAACAAACATTGTCATTGTTTTGAGTGATCTCATTGAAACCCGCTACAGCACCACCTAAGGTAGATGTCATTACACTCATTTACAAAAAAGATGAAGTGACTTACCCAAGGCCACACAACGAGATGGGATTTGTACTTAGGGCTTGTGAGATCCACCCCTGCCCCAACTGCTCCCTCCTGGCCCAGGAGCTGGGGATTTTCCTGCTCCTCAGACATAGCTGTTCTTAGAGAAAGCAAGCCCATTTGGGGACAAGAGAGTAACTTTGGAGAAATAACTTTGCGTAGTGTGTGTTGGGACTCTGTTTCCTTAATTTGAACCCTAGGTCAGTGTGGTTGGTATTGGTTTAAACATGCAGTTCTCTCAGGAAGCCATCTGCTTTCTCTCCATGAGTTTAGATTCTGTGGTTTCTGCTCCGGTTACAGGAGATTTTTTTTTTTCATATCATGTAAAGTAATAATCATTTGTGAATTGAATGATTCTATATCATCAATGTTTCTATTTTTTGTTTGACTTCAGGCTCCTTGAGGTCAGGGCTTGGCCTATGTCTTAAGTCCCTCATTTCTTATAGCACAAACTCTAACCTGTGATAGACAATGAATAAATGCCAGTTAAATAAATACCAAAGAGCATTGTATGTGATTTTTTTTTTGAGGATGATGATAAGAAGTGCAAAATTCTAGGCATGAGACTTATCTTGATGCTAAAGGTTTGTCTTTGGAGGCCAGAGGTTTCTTCTTCACTTCCTCTATCTTTCCTGTTAGATAAAACATCTTTGTGTGTGACTTTTATAAATAAGTAGCTTCAATAAAATGCAACAGTAAACTAAACAATACCAGGAACTGGCAGGGCTCTGAGACACTACTTTTCACTAGGTTGTTATCCAAGTGGAAAATATTTTCAGATGTGAAATTGGAGAATTGACTTTGATGTGAATGTTGAAATATGGCATATGTAACTTCTGCGTACATTCTGGTCAGCCTTTGCCATAGGATTGGTGGCACTAGTCTTTCACATTGTATTTATATATGTGTGCCTGTCATGACAGCTGCTTGAGAACTCTGAACAACTCTTTACATTGTCTATGGTAAAATGTCCAATACTTTTCCTATGCTTATTAGGTACTAGAGGCCCGGTGCACGAAATTCGTGCACTCGAGGAGGGGGAGTCGCTCAGCCCAGCCTGCACACTCTTGCCACAGCCACTGCGCTCTCCAGCCATGAGCCCAGCTTCTGGCTGAGCGGCACTCCCCCTGTGGGAACACACTGACCACCAGGGGGCAGCTCCTGTGCTGAGTATCTACCCCCTGGTGGTCAGTGCTTGTCATAGCATCAGTTCGTTCAGCTGTTCAGTAGATTTGCATATTAGAGTTTTATTATATAGGATTGCTTTTTGAAATGCATGTTGTATTTAAGATGTGGCTTAGGGTTGTCAGTGCACGTCATAGGGAGCGGTTGAGCGGCCTTAGTATATCATTAGCATATTACGCTTTGATTGGTTGAATGGACAACCAGATACTTAGCATATTAGGCTTTTATTATATAGGACTAGAAGCCTGGTGCACAAAAATTTGTGCACTCGGGTGGGTCCCTCAGCCCAGCCTGTGCCCTCTCGCAGCCTGGGGCCCCTTGGGGACCCCCTTCCCCTGGCTGCTGGCACCAGTTTTCCTCCAGCTCCCGGAACCCAAGCCTTCGCTCTTTGCCAGGAGGGGCCAGCGCGGCAGGCAAGGGGCTTAGCTCCTCACTGCTCACTGCCTGTGGGCCCAGGGGCGTGGCGGAGGCCGGCGCGGCGGGCCCTCCTCTTTGCTCTTCGCTCGCCACGCCGGCCTTCGCTCATTGCTCCTGCGTGGGGCCAGCTAGCTTTGCTCTGTTGCTTGGCGCCTATGTATGCA